TCCCATCATCACCTGATGGACAGCAGACACGAACCTGGAGCTGTAGATACGTGCTGAACAGACGCGGGGTACAGCGTGCTGTCCCGGGTTCAAACCCTGATCTTTGAAGCACGTCCGCCTCTCTGCATATTTACCCATAAAACCACCAGTCTGGTTCTTTACTTCTTCAAACCTGATTTGTTCATCTAAGAAAATCATTTTTGTTCAAACTCTGACTTTTAGGCTCAGTTTCTGTGAAGAAATCAGGGCATAAACCCGATGAAGGCCACAGTAAGCCCTGGGAGGATCAACAGAGAGTCGTAGAGTCACGTGATGACCTCAAATCCTCCGACTTATTCTGATGGGAACCAAAGTATCATCAGTTTATGGAGTAAAGGGTCTCCTGTCACACCTGTCTGATTTATGCAGCGTCTGCCTGTCGTCCCAGAATCTCCTAAAACGCTGAACTTTCTATGGATCTTTTCTATTCTGGGCGTAAACATGGAGTTTCCATAACTCCAGAACTTCTGTCCAATGACAGCCTAACTTCTGCATAACGTACGGCAGCGTAATGCCCAGGAAATGATGCACAGTGTCCTGAGGGGGGCAGCGATGCGCCCGGAGGCGCCTGGTCTGCAGAAAAAGATTTCTTTCATCGCGGTATTAACCTAGCTGCTGTTTACACCCGACCAAAATAAAAAGAAATAAACAATACAAATAAAAAATAAAGAAAGCAGGTTTTTGGTGTCAGCAGATTGAGCGTCATGTCTGCTAGGAAGTGTGTTGGTGGTGGGCGTGAACGCAGGGAGGATCCATCACCTTCTGGCTCACCCTATGATGGGGATGGAGGAGGACTGACCTGGAAGCGACGGCGTACGGATGGCAGACGCTGGCGTATGGCGGGACATTTGGAGCATGCTCAAAATAACGCTCTGTACTCGCTGTATGTTGACGTGTTCAAGCGTACTCATACCTTATCCAACCTATGTCAGCGTTTTTACCAGATTTTCCGTACGTCAGCCATTCGCTGGTCATAAAGGTGTGACAGGAGCTAAAATCTGCTCCTTTGCCTTTATGTGAAACTGCTCCAGAAATATTAGCATCTGTGACGTCAGACATGACAGAAACCTGACAGTTCTTCCAAGATAAAAGTCAAAAGGCCGAGCAGTGATGTTTACTGACTGCTGCGTGTTTAAATCTCTATGCAACCATTTCCAAGGTGTCCATTCTGCTGCAAAGCAACAGGCTGGTTTCAGGTGATTTAATGATAAATAATCACGTTATGCTGCTAAAATGTTAATATTTCCTCACCTGCTGGGATATTCTGCTTGGCTTTCAGAGGTGTGGGTGTGTTCTGCTGGAGCTCAGGGGTTTTACAACATGGAGTGGCTCTCTGAGGCTCTGTTTCTCTGCTCAGACTCTCAGCAGAGGAGGCGCTGAGGGGGGGGACCTCCTCCACCTTCTGCTGTCCCTGAGAGAAGGCCACCAGGGACTGCATTGCATTGCTGAATGTGTGGTGGTGCTGGACGAGCTGCCGGACCCATTTAGACAAACCTAAGGATGCACAGAAACAGAAGCAGAGTCTCTGGTGGGTACAGGCTGCCATCTAGTGCTGAAAGAAGGAAGCGGCTTCAGCAGAAACACGGCGTACCTGTGATGTATCGCTCAGGGTTGTTCTTGTACCGGTCGTCCACCAGGATCAGGGCCCCCCAGTCATTCCTGTGTCTGATGCACCTGAGGAGCAGCGTATGAACAGGTCACCTCCCAAGCAGGAGCAGAGGAGCCGTCAGATCCGGCATTCCGGCCGTTTACCTGCCCAGGGCCTGGTTCAGGGCCCGGTAGGCCTGGATCTCATACCAGCGGTGGCCTGGAAGGAGACCTCTGGACTTACAGTGCTGGTCGTTATACTTCATCTTCAGCTCCACCTAAAAATCACATCCAGCAGATTCAGGAGTCAGTTTAGCTTTTATTACCAGAGAAACATCAATATTTGGACCAAATGGGATTTAATTAGCATTAATGATCAAAGCTGCTAATTAATGAAATATTTGGTTATTTAATAATGTTTAATCCAGTTCACCATAAGACATGGTTAAACTCTTGAAATTAGACAAGGTCATTTTATTTGTAAAGGGAAATTCAGTAGATGAACAATTCAAAGTGCTTTACATGAATAAGATAATAAAATAAGAGGAGAATAAAAGCAAAGGTATCGGTAAACAAAATAAAACAATAGTCATTTAATGACATTCAATTACAGCTGAAACAATCGGATTAATTAATTATTGAAATAATTTAGTTAATTTAGTAATGGATTAATCGTTAGCTGGGGAATAGAGACTTTAAAACCTGCTGGAAGAGCAGGAATTATATTAAGATTGTAAGAATATATATAAAGATTTTGCATTTAAGATGAAAAAACGTTTTCATCTGTCAATCTACTCAATAATCCGGAACTCCTCAAGTGGAAAAGTTTTAGTTTCACGTGGTGTGATTTAAAAAAAAAAAATTCTTCAAGGAAGCTTTGGATATATGATCATTAATTGATTAATTAAGAAATAATTGAGAGATTTTAAAAAATAATGGTTAGAGATCAGCCCTAATTGACCTGATCTCATGCAAATCCCGTTAAATTCATCATAGGTTGATGAAATGTGATATGAATGAATGTTTTAAAGCAGAGGTCTTCAACAGGGGGTCCGCGACCCCTAGAGGGTCCCCAGAGGTACTGCATGGGGGTCGCGAAAGTTTTGGTTTATTAGACTTTTTTTTTATATTCACCCTGCAATTTTTTCCACTAGTTGAAATGTCTTTAAATCCACATTAACATGAATTCAACAGACTGTAGTAAACAGATAAATGGAGGCAGAGGATGTCTTTCAGTCATCAATGCCAGTGGCGGTTCTAGACCAAATGTACATGGGGGCCAGGATTCCATAATTTTGGAATTGTATATATTTTTGACTTAATTTAACTTAAAATTACATTTTTCTATAAAATCTGAATTAGAACAAAAAAAACACGATGCATTCAGGTTTAAAAATTAGAGGAATTTCTTTTGAAAAAAAGAAAACTGGGATCCAATCTCAATACGACACACAGGAGCTCTTTCAAGCTGGGCACCGTTTCATTCACAACACCTGTCCCGTCAACCAGGAATCAGAATCAGAAATACTTTAATAATCCCAGGGAGGGATTACTTTAGTTACATTACTCCATCTGTAATAGAGCGACTATAGGACCAGTTTGATAGAACACTATTTCATACAATATATATTTAGGGGGTCCCCGCTCCATCTCACCATAAGTTTGGGGTCCTTAGCCTGGAAAACGTTGAAGACCCCAGTTTTAAAGCAGAGGTGGCAGTTTGCTTCTATTCTTCCCCTCATAAAAAAACCAGAACCACTGATGGTAGAAGGAGGACGCTCCAATCCAGCACCACTTTAGGACGTCACTAATTCTAAAGTAGGTTAATATCAAAAAATCTGAGGGCCTCACTAAGATGGACATCTCATCCAAGGAGGAGAGACTGAGGGCTAAAAGAAGCTGCAGTCTGAGAGGAAACTGATCACCGGCTCTATGGGTGAAGGACCTGTCCAAGACCTGGAAGCTAAGATCAGACGCTGCAAGGTGATCCAAGGGGTTTGGTTCAAGTTCAAATGCTTGATTTCATCTTTTCATGGTGGATTGAAGGTAGGAGGTGGATAATTAGAAGCATCCAGTCGTTAAAGCGTCCCTGGAGTCTAAGGCTACGTTCCCACTGCAGGCCTTGATGCTCAATTCTGATTTTTTTGTGAAATCTGATTTTTTTAGCGTTGCTGTTCTCCTTTCCAAACATATTTGACTTGTATGTGATCTCCTGTGTGAACTGCAGTCATACAACCCAAGTGTCCCGCATGAGCAGTAGCGGACACAATGGCGTCACAATTCAGCGTGCGCTGTGTTTACGGAAGTAAACATGGATGGTAGTGTCGTAGAACATCTAGCGATCTTTCCCAACCTTAAAAACTCAATCTTTCCAAGATGCTTAAACATAAAGACTGCTCTCCACGTCATCATCCACCATTGTTGTTGTTTTTCTTGCCCCTTCTGTGTAGCAAGAAGCAGAAGAGTGACCACTGTCGGGTATTAACGACATTCAGGCCGGATGAATGCAACCTGGCCGTTCAGACACAGGTCGCATTAGAAAAGATCAGTTAGGTATGGGATTCAGGACCACAGAGCCAAGCTGCCTGGGTCGCACTGGAAAAAAATCAGATCTTGAGTTGTTCAGACTGTCATGAAAAGATCCGATCCAGGTCTCATACGGGCAAAACCATTTGATCAGCCTTTCACGCTTCAATCCGAGGAGCTTTAGTGAGACAGAGAGCAGAAACCCTGAACCTGATGGGCTCCATTCAGAGGTCAGACAGGAAACGTTCTCCTGGTGGACGTACAGGATCTGAAACAATGAGGTCTATCCAGGCTTCCCAAACGGGGAGCAAAGCGGCGAGCCGGGCCAGGCCACATCAAGCATCCTGGCACCAAAATGCCACAAAAGCATCCATCCATCCATTTGCATCTGTCGCCGTCGATTTTGGCGCTAACCTTTCAGAATTGACAAGTGAAAAGTTCAGCTGGCGTCTGACGAGATGCCATGCCAGGCAGGCGGCTGAGCACGGCTGTAACCGTTTCTGACAGGTACCGTGTGTTCGCCCAGAGCCAGGAAACACGAGGCCGCGGCAGGTACGCCCCGTCCCCTCACGCGCACCGCCGCCGTGGCTGCTGCAAACTAACAGGCCGTCACAGCTGATCCAGAAGTCACGCCAAAGTTTGATCACAGCCGATGAGCTGAGATAAGGGAACCAGGAGGAGCGGGACTCTGAGCAGCCGGGCTTAAAGCAGCCTGCAGAAGGTGAGGTGAGCAGAATATGGGGAGAATAAAAACGCTGCTGGCTCTGTGGTGACAACTTTGCCAATGAATGAGACACCAGAGCAGTTAAAGAATCCACTTCTCAACCCTCAGAAAGGTTGGTAGCCTGCAGCCAGCGGTCATCTCAAAGCAATCACAGTCGTGCTCCGTCCCACGCCGCCCTCCGATCTGACATGACAGGTTGCATATGTGAAAAAGCCAATTCTGGCTGCTAGCAAATATCACAAATGTGCAAGAAACCACAAGCTAGAAGGGATTAGTTAAAATGTCAGGGGATCACTCGCTTGCTGTGGCCTCGTCCTCCACGGCAACCTGTTCATCTCCAAAAGCATCTATTCCTCCACCAGGCATGATTCGCAGCTCAGCGCATCCGCTGCAGCCAGATTCTACGCGGGGTGTGTGTGCGCGTCAGCATGCACGCCCCTGGCAGTCAGGGACATCTTGTGCCTGTCACTGAGATTGCCGAGCGCCTCGTCTGCCACATGTGGCTGAGCTGACAGCTGAGAGGCTCGTCTTTGAGACGCCGTGTGTGTCTGTGTGTGTTTCCAGACTGACAAGGGCACTGGGCTATTACACTCCTCTCCAATAAGTTAATGGATCAGCTCACACCGGGCTGCTGTCAGCCTCCACCTTTTAACGCACTCGTCTTCAGCTTGACTCAAAGATAAGTTGGTAAATGGAAACATTGATGTTTATAGTGAAGTTTGGAGATCAGAGTTCAACCTGCCAACAACCTCTGCTCCACAAATAAAACATTACAAATAAAACTCTGGCCTCACTTTGTCTGAATCCATCCAATTTAAAGGAGAAGTCGCTCATATTCAGAATTTAAACTTCTGAAAGTTCTTTAAATCTGAAA